GGAAAAGGAAAAGTGAATTTGCATAGACAACTACCCAAAGTTAACACTTGTTCCTGTTCAGTAAATAGTCCCCAATAAACCTACTTTTAAGAGAAAAGAATGCAGATCTTCTGCCTTTCTTCACCTGTAATTATCCCAACCTTAGATTTCACAGCCTCTAGTAATCTCCACACACATGCCCTGACAAACTACTTCATTACATCAGTTCACTTGGAAGGTAGCCTATGCTATATTTGCCATACTCATAAACAATGAGAATTTTTTGCATTGCAAAATGTTAAAGGGTGAGACTAAATTTTAAGTTTTAAGTTTTCTAACTTCCTGTCCATGCTCACACCTATTTGCATTTCTCTTGAGCTGGTTTTGACCCATATTAATAACTTTTACAGTAACTTTTGACATCCCCCCCATTCTCAAGATGGCCTCAAACTCCAGCATAAACAGATCTGAAAAAAAGTTGAGCAACTCATGCATAATTGCTTTAGAGAAGAAAAATCAAACCTCATCTTCGTTCTATAGGTGGTCATATTTAAGCATAATGAAAATCTCCATCTAATTTTTTTCTGTGAATATTCTATTTCAGGAAAAGTGCAGCATATTCAAACAGATTCAGCACCATAAACTAATAAACTGTAGAATGTAAGTAAGCCCCAAGTTTTATCACTCCAGTTACCCCATACAATCACTAGCCAATATATAAATTCAAGGGATTAAGGCTAAGACATTTAAAAAGTAATACTTATCTCGTAATAAACTTAGTCTGGACTTCTCTTTATGCTGAAGGACATAGGAAGACGTTAACAATCAGGAAAGCACAGAATCATTAGAAAAATGTAGCACAAGTAACCTTCCTGATTTATCTCCTGCAACAGTCAATGCAACTGTAACAATAGTTCAAGGAAACACAACAGAATTATTGCCGATACTAGTACATACCAGTTTGAATAAATAACATGAATTCTTATTTAAGAGCACTTGAAAAGGGAAAGCAGGAATATCCATCAACCGCTAGCACAGAACTTCATTTCCATTATCTTCATCTGCATTAGGGGAGAATGTTAATATGTCTTCAAAAAAATTAATTCAATCCTAATTGGGACTGAGGAAGCTCATTCTATCTTTTATCCTAATACTGGTAGTTAAAAGGTGATTTTAATTGCTATAGTAATCAGATATAATGAAGAGCAAAACTGTTTCTGATTAAATAACATTTGCATCAGAATTGCTGTTATATGCTTTTCAGATCCTAGAAAGCTGTCTTCAGTTCTTTTTTTCTCTCCCTTGCTCAGATATGCACATGGAAGCAATGCTGCAAGAATTTTGCAGATGTTAAATCAGATGGAAGTCATGAAAGACTACGTCTAAATGTATCATAGCCCAGTCTGCCACGGCCCTTAAAAATAAGAAACACTGCTGAAAAAGAACTAGAAGGAATGTTCTCTTCACTGAGTAACCTGGTCTTTAAAATATTGGCAACTCTAAGGTTACTTTGTAACCAGGAATTATGCAGGACAATTCTTAATTCTGGACACACTGCAGTTTTCTGCTCTCTCAGTTCCACGAAGAAACAGAAGTTAATTGTAATATTTAATTAATTCCGGTTAATTCTAATCTGGATTCTCTGGTGGCCGCAAAAAAAGTTGTAGCTGTTTAACCAGGTAACAAGCAAAAAAATACTAAATGTAGAACTACACACTAGAAGGCTGGAAAATGAAAGAACCCTATTGCTCTGACCTGAAAGGCTGTAGCAACGTGTTAAATTTTTTTTCTTGAAGATATAGCTAGAGAAATAACTGAAAGAGAGTTAGGTTAACACACCCTTTGGGTGAAAATCACCTTGTCAAAATGACAGCTTGAGAGGACATCTGCCTCCTTCCTCCAAGTCCTCTGTGTCACATTCACTTAGACAAATTTGTAAACTACTTATATAAGCAGCAATGAGCATACAGAAGTAGATGTATCAAGCAAAAAATAGTTACTTGGCAAAAACAGTTAATTGAACATCAATATAATGGAATCCAGTGAGGATGGAACTGACCCCCCACATCCTACCACGACAACAGAGTTATAGTATGCGAAATGGATATTTCAATATACTTAAATATTGGAAAAATATTTTAGAACTATTAAAATAACTCTGCATCACTGGTTTAGAAACATTAGTTATTTCAATGGGAGTTTTTTTGGTGCATTTGGCCATGTACAATTATTCAAATATTTGCAGTCTCAGTAAATAAGAAATAAAAACTAAAATTAAATTTTGCATTGATCTGTTGACAGGAAAAGTCTTTCAGGACGAAAAGCAAAATGCTGTCAGTATACTGAGGCATTTATGTTATTGCTAAGCATGACCTACTCCTCACCTGCTAAAAAATTAATAGATGTAGACAGGTACTGTCTGAACTGAAGCAATTTAAGAAGGTGTAACTTTCACCTGTTAGCTACAGCCCTTAAACACAGCCCAATTCACTGACAATAGTATCTAAGTGGGCTTCTCATACTTTTCAACAGCTAATAAAACACGTCAGCTTACATGGTCTGAAGTGGTAGTTTAAACTAACCTCTCTCAGTATGACTTGAAGTACACAGGTAGAGGTGAGTGTAACGATAGGATATTTAGGTTCTTCTTACCCCACTCACAGAAAAGTGCCTGTCCATATTAAAAAGGACTATTTTTCTGTGTGTCAGGTGATAGATATTAAAGAAAGATTAGTCAAATGCTTAAAGAATGGATTAGAAAAATCTCACTACACATTTCCATGAGCTTAAGTTCACAAAATACAGAAAATATATTTATACATCACCTGTATTTTTTATTTATTTAATTTAAATACCTCATTTATAGTTAAAATGAAATTATTGGAAGAATGTTTATAGCGCATGAAATTTAAGTTTGTAATCTATACAAAGCAACAGAGTCATTCACTAAAACTTATACTACAGTATATTCCATGCAGTGTCCCTGTCACTTCAAGCAAGGCCAAAAATAATAGGATTTGTGGTACCACTGCAGAAACCCTCCAAACCAGCCCTAGGGAAGTCCCTTTAAAAACAAAAGAAACGAATCAAATAAACAGCAAAAGTCTGAGGCTTTGTGGCAAAGTGATGTACACAAACACAGGAGAATTTTTTCAAGATTCCCACATAAATAATTTGTTTTCTATCATGGTATTCAAATTACAGTACATTAATATAAATTAATTTTTAAAACTCAGAATGAAAAGAATTAAGTATTGGAAAAAACAATTTATCACAATCAGCAAATACAACCAAATCTAACCAAATACCTAATCTAACTTACGATCTCTTAAAATGTCATGAAAAATACATATTAAGTGATCACAGGAGAAAGATTTTTTCACTTGTAAATAAAACTTATTCTCACTTTGTCCAATTCTTTGCTTTTGCAGATTTATACATGGGTTGCTAATTTTTACCAAATTTAAATGTGAAATTTAGGAGGAAAAAAGGACAAAGTTGTGACACTTGTACATATACATCAATAAAGATAAAACAGCACAACCTGCTGAAATCATTGTAAGTATGATTCAGTCTGACAAAGTAATGCTTAAATAGATTATATATTTGTAAGATACATTGATACAAGTGCAACTGCAGGTTCTAGAGAAATGTGATTGCCAAACAGGAAGGGGATGTTGGCTGGCTAACATTCCTTGAGGGCTGGCTGTCCATGCACAAGTGACACAAATGACTAGACATTTTGACTACTGGAGATTTACTGACATGCCAGAAACACTAGCATTCTACATATATGCATCACCAAATGGTATTGTACATATTATGAGATAGTACTTTTGCACTACCACATTACCACTGATGGAAATTCTGACGAGTAACTTGTCTTCTCAGGGCTCTGTGTTAACCTCCATAGTCATCCTCTTAAATGCTGGAGTGGATCTGTTTCCCTGGTCTAGTGTTTCTCCAGTATTTTCTGTCCTTGTATAAATTGACTTTAGAGATGCTGTATATACACCCTTGAAAGGCAGTGTTATTTCTAAACGTACCCCCATTCGATCAATCTCCAGCATAGCACTATGTTAATATGTCATAATTAAATGGTTTACTGCAACATCATCCTTACACAAAGTTAATACATCATCACATCTTCCATAAAGTTCATCATAACCAGAACACAAACAGCATTTTTCCATGAGCATGTACTTGTTAGACTACTCAGTGGACAAAATGACAAGTGTTTTACATATCGGTCAGATTAGCAGATCAACAAAAAAAATCATGGGAACTGAACAAAAAATTGCAGCCTCAAGTAATCTCTTGCACAATCCCATGTACAGTTTTACCACCTCTATTTGCCTGATGGAGTCAAAGAGGTAAAAGAATAAAGCTTGTATTTTACAACCTTCTGTAAATCTGCACAGCATCAATATCAGAACCACCTGATTCCTCCTGCTTTCTTACTTTCCTCTCTCTTATGGTGGCCTCATGCAAAATACAATATTCTTACAGCTCAACACATAGCTTTTTATCATGCTGAAATCCTACTCTGTACTTAGGCTCCAAGCTCAACCAGATTTTCCAGGTCCTGATAGGACTGTTGGGAGAACATCCATTATCATGGAGCCTCCAAGCCCAAAAGGAAGACGTTAATTGCCACACTACCTTGATTATAGAGATGTTTACAGAATGAAATTAACAACAAAGCAAGAAAGATACTACTTCTTGGAAGCAAATCCATACAAAAAAAATCAATTAACTGCTACAAATGAAAACAAGCCAATAATTCACAATAAAATGCCTGGAAAGGAACATTATACAGATTAAGTGGTAGATATAGAAACGCACAATGAGGTAGGCTAAAACAGAACAGAATTCACACTGAAAATGTTACACTTTTTTTTTTTTCAGCTTGCAAAAGAGACAGCAAGTATTTTTCAGATTGTTCAGGAATAACCTTCAGTTTGTTACTCCTTACTTTCTTTTTCTTTTAACAATTCTCTCTACTAGAAATGATGCCTTACCTTTGTTCATATCAATCAACTGCTGCTTTTTCTTCTGTCGCTCCAGTTTCTCTCGTTCAGCCTTCTCTTTTGCCAATTTGGCTCTCTTGGTCTTCTCCTCCAGTTCTTTTCTTTTGTTGTTTTCTTTTACCGCCTCCTGCATTAGATAAAATGAACATGGTTATCAATATACTGAGGAAAAGTAGAAAGAATAACAAAAATAACCATGTTTGCACAGCCGGCGGGAAAAAAAAACAGGGACTGGCACGCAGTACTTCATGCATCTTCAGAAATCTTAGAGGAAACATAACTTACCATACTATTTGTACACATTAGGATTATTAGATAATCGGAAGAATGAAAACTGAAACAGCTTTGCATTTATGGTGAATGAAAAAGTTCCAAATTTTTCAGCAGCAACATGTTTGTTTGTTTTCCTATTAAGACTGTAAGTGTAGCTTAAACCTGTATCTTACTGTTAGAGGAGTGATGAGTGGGGCTGAAGTCAAGTTCCCACTAGACTTCAATTACAAGTAACTGAAACTCAGTTACTAAAATTTAAGCTACAATTCCTCAAACATTTTTGTTGAAATATCCAAAGTAGTTTGGATCACTTAAATACACAGAAAGCAATAGAAAACAGTTGAATTTATACATTACAGCTCCAAATCTAAAGTCTTTGAGTCAACAGGTTACACAAACTCCCAAACTAAAAACTGCAATGTAAGAGAACATCCCTGGATTAAAAAACAAAACCAACAACCACTTCCCATGATCTTGTCTTCCATCTGGTCTAGAAAATGTCCTCCTTTTCCAAGGAAGGTTAATTGCAATTTCTTGCTGTGGTGGGTTGACCTTGGCTTGGCTAGGGCCACTCTCTCACTCACCAGGATGGGTTGAGATGAAGACAGGGAGTTCACTCACTTTGTCATGGGCAAGACAACTGGGGAAGATTAATTTATTTTATTGCCAAATGAAATAGAGTTGGATGGTGTGAAACAAAGACAAAAAAGAAGACATCTCTCCTCCCTCCCCCTTCTCCTCAGGCTCAACTTCACTCCTTCATTCCCAACTCCTCTATGCCCCCTCCCACACCCCGAGCGATGCAGCAGGGATGGCGGGTTGCAGTCAGCCCGTAGCACTTCTTCACTGCCAATCCTTCCCCCTCATGCTTTTCACCTGCTCCACCATGGGTCCTCCCTGCAGCATATAGTCCTTCAGGATAAACCTGCTCCAGTGTGGCTCTTCTCCACAGGCTGCAGGGGAATCGGTGCTCTGGCACCTGGAACAACCCCTCCTTCTCCGGCCCTGGTACTTGCAAGGCTGTTTGTCATTTTTCCCCCCTCACTCCTCGCTGCCGTGCAACATTTTGCCCTTTCTTAAACAGGTTCTACACAAGCACCACCAGCTTCATTGCTGGGCTCAGCTGTGGTGCCTCAGCTGTGTGGCCTGTGGTGGGGCTGTGGCAGGGCTGTGGCAGGGCTGTCCAGAACCGGCTGGAACCGGTCGGGGCACCCCCAGCCTCCCCTCACAGAGGAGGTCCCTGCAGCCCCCCTCAGCCAGCACCCGCATACTCATCGCTTCTTTTCACAAATACCTTCATAACTTCTTCTACATTGCCTGCTCTCTCAAAAGAGAGAAATATTTGAATTCCCTTAAGTTGTTCCCCAAGATCCTAAATTTCTCCTTAGTTTCACCTTTCCTAAGATTCATTTATCATGAAGAAATTCACTGAATTCCATCATGATGGAATTCCACCTATTGTCACAGACAGACATGATAAATGTTAGGGATAATTTTCTTATATATATTCACAACAGCTACAAATTTATTGCTCCCTTTCCTCTCCAACTCACAGTATACAAGTACTGTAGGTCTGGGTTTTGGGTGATTTTGGGAGTGCCAACACATTATGTCCAACAAGTAGTAATAACAGTAGATACCGAATCAAAAAACATCAGGAATTAACACAGCATGTGCTCATTAATGATGTTTCAGCTTAAAAAGCTGAACAGTTAATACTTACTAAGCACAGGGCATGAGATAAATGGTTTCCATGTCAAGGTTAGCTTTATTTCCTATGCAATTTAATCATGCCTTAAAAACTAGGGAAGTTGTATACGTTCACAAATACAAAGAAGAAGATTTCTTTGTGGATGTCTTTCTAAATATCCAAGACAATATGTCAGTCGTTATTCCACAAGTAAAATTTCCTGAAGAAATATGGGGCGGACTCATATTACACAGTCCGATGTATTGCTCAAAAATGACATTTCAAATGTTTATAAATGAAGGTGACTATTCACCTTACCGTGTACGTGCCAGGAAGAAACTACGAACAACAACTGTCACTTCCAAAAGAAAATCCCATCTAAAGCACCTTTGAGGGTGAAGATCTATATAAACTCTATCAGTATTTGGTAATCCAAGACTCCCAAATGCCTCCAAATACAGAATATTCACTCAAGCAAGGGACAGCATATTTCATTGTGCATATGCCATTTCAAGAGTTTACTGAGGTAAAATACTACCTACAGCCCCTTCTTTAATAGCTGATACTGTTCTGCAGAGATGCTGGATACCACAGTTACCAGTGATGTTACCTGGGGACGCACTTGAAAATTGGACGACGAACTGCATTTGCTGTACCATCACATAACCGATCGCACTGAGAAACACCTTTTCTTTCAGAAAAGAGAAAAGAACATTAAAGGAGAAAATCAATGTTTTATCCTTTTCGGTTTTGGGCAGTTCCGTCTCTGCACATTCAATCACACTTGACAGAGATTTCATTTTACTGCAGCTTCACAGGCTGTAATGAAAGTAAATGCCCACAATCTTATGAGAGAAAGCAAGCAAGAAATGTCATGGCTGAACTAGCAGCCCACTAGCCATTGACATACTATGATTAGATCATAGATTCTGTCACATTTTCTAACAGGAAGACTACAGTACACTGAACTAAACAAGCTCTAAAGTTATTGTATTTGGAAATTCACTTTGAGCCAGACTCTGCAAGTCCTAGCTGAAGGAAGATGGAGGTTGCAGTTCATACAATATGCTGGCTACCAATGATGATTCAACCAAAACCCATTCAAAATAAAGATTTAATTTTCGTGAAGAACAGTAAGATAACAAAATACTGATAACTGTGTGTGACAGTGCCTATCTTCATCTACCTACAGCCATCCCTTCATATACATGCATATCTACATACAAACAAAAATAAAACCCACCATTCCAACACGTGCAGTGCCGGAAGCACAAAAAAGGCAGATGGGCCCGTCCACTATTCCTTCGAAATGCACATTTCCTGGTATTTTATTTTCTTCCAGGCTGTAAATGCTTTAGAGTATCTTCACATAGAGTCTCTTTCCAGAGACAATAAAAGAAGAGTTGGGCACAGCAAGTAAAAACCCACTAAGCACTAACCTGAAATACCAGAGCTTTTTCCAAACATCCTGTTGCTACAACAGGACCAGGTTGCAGCAAAAAGACATTAACACTCAGCGCTCTCTGCAATGCTCAACCCGGGCACTCCGCAAGGCAGGAGAGAGAAACCCCAGCAGAGCATCACACCGACCACCACCACCATCACACCTCTTGGCCCCTAGCCTGGCCCTTTGGGAACTAACAGTGCGGTGCAGTACTGCACACATACAGCTTCCGAAGCACTCTGAGAACAAGATAGATCTGATCGGCTCTTAGCTCTGCTGTAGTACTCCAGTAACTACCTGGTAACAGCTCTAGTATTTCTGATTATTATTTATTGGATTCTTTCCTGCCATCCCAAATTCTCTTGAACCTCCCCTACCCAGCCTAATAGTTTTATGCCATATTCCTTGAAACTTAACGTATCTTTTTTTTCCTCTACACACCAATTCAAAATGAATATTGTGGGGGAAAAAAAACAAACAACAAAACAAGCAAACCAAGAATGATCTATCTGAATCATCACCAGTGTTTAGTGCATACAATCCCTGTCCTTCTTAAAGTATCTCAGAACCAAACCACCTGGAATGTACTTGCTTGTTATTATTCTCCATCAGGCAGTCTGACTCTTAACCATTTCATATGTGTTATACCATTTACTACTGTACATTTAGTCAGTGTTAGATGAAAGCCTGAAATAAATAATTTGCAAGAACGTACTCCCAGTTGTTTTCACATTATGTGCTGAAAGCAAAATAAATCTGTATGTTCACCTGTATTTATAAACATATTTGAGTTAATATTGCTAACAAATACTATCATAGTTTTTCAAAGTTGATTGAAGATGACTGTAAATAAAGGTAAAGAGAATTTTGACTCAGATGTATAGTGGTTTCTACAGCATTTGCTCTGCCTGAATTATATCACCAATCCGTTAAGTTTCCTTTTCTACAGTTTTACTGCAAAGGGTTGTTTTTCTCTCTCATATGGCTTCGATTACTTCGTTATTTACTATTTCCTCACTGTCCAGACTGTGGACAAGCCTAGCAACTCCTAATACAAAGGTGACATGACTCTACACCTGCCTTACCACAGTGTTATGTGGGCCCCACCAATCCTAAGTTAAGCATTAAGTTAAAAGAAATCTGCACATCACCTCATGCTTCCACCTCTCTTTTTCTTTAGCAAACTTTTATACTCCTCTATACCTATTCTCTTCCAAGCTCCTAAGTTTCAGTGGACTTTTAATACAGAACAGTGCTGTTTCAGGTCATCAGGTTATTTTTAAGTATCGAATGCCAGTGATATCCTTTCTGTGTAGGTCTGCAGGCTAAATTACCTGAAAGGTAGAGATCAGTTTGAATACTAAAAAAAATAGCTCTGTAATTGGCACTGCTCTTAAGGGGCGGGGGGGGAAATTCAGCAGTTTTCACACTGCAATGTAGCTCAACAGTGACAATATACATACTAGGCATACACTACACAACTGTATTTATTCCCTAATTGAACGATAAAAACAAACTAACGTAACAGTTATAAGACAAATGTCACAGAGCAAGAAGCAATCCACAGTTAAGAATAAAAGCCTTCCCAATAGGTTTGCAAAACATTTTGAAAAGTATTAATCTAGATACTGTCTTTGCAAAACATGGAAGTACATGCAAAAACTGAAATAAGTTTCAAGTGAATCTCAACAAACAGAAATATTTTAATGTATACAACCCC